TCTGTCTGTCTGTCTGTCTGTCTGTCTGTCTGTCTGTCTGTCTGTCTGTCTGTCTCTCTTCTCTCTTTCATTCTCTCCCTCATTCTCTTTCTCTCGCATTCTCTCTCTATGGGTTATTTATTTCCCCCCCTTACCAATAGAAAAAGCATCATGCACCAATGATTTGGAATTGCACTCTCTTCTCCGTTTATGTATCCACACATATATATCTAAATATCGCAAGATCTGTTCTCTGCCGTTGATCCCAACAGAATCATCTTTTTTAAGAAGGCCTTCGGCCCTTTACAATGAATTGTAGATAGCGTTTGTTTAAAAAATATTTTTGAAGTGTTATTTTAAAAACCGAGGTTTTGCAACAAATGTTCAACATTTTAATCGAAATTTTGCTCTAAACCAAGCCGTGCTATGAATTGTAGTGAATGCAACCAACTACCGTTTCGCGCGCTCATATAACCTTATGCAGTTGCGAACGCCGTAAAACTCTTACTTAAATTATCTATCTATCTATCTATCTATCTATCTATCTATCTATCTATCTATCTATCTATCTATCTATCTATCTATCTATCTATCTATCTACCTACCTAGCTGTATGTCTGCCTGCCTGAGTCCCTGCCTGCCTGCCTGTCTGTCTATCTGTCTGTCTGTCTGTCTGTCTGTCTGTCTGTCTGTCTGTCTGTCTGTCTGTCTGTCTGTCTGTCTGCAGCTTGTTTTCATGGTATCTACGTCAATAATGTTAACTCGCATTACGCCAAAGTGTTTCGCTTCATGAATATCCCAGATCGTGTCCCCCGTAATATTCATGAGGGCCTTGGAGATTTGGTGGGGTGGGGTGGAAGGGGGGGGGGGCGTTCAAGTCAACGGTACGTCAGACGTTGATGACGTCAAACAGGCTGAACGAGACCCCCAAGTGCCTGAAACGCTACCCGTTGGCGCGAATAGAAACCTTCGGAGCGCGCTATTGTGAACAGCTTTTAACTTAAAGAGTGTTTGCACGCGAGAGGAATGTTTTGTTTTTGAGAAGTTTCCGCCTGCTCTGGTGTTTTTGAGTTTGAAGGGGTCCCTTTGTACTTCGTTCTTCTGCTTCCCTCCCCAAAGCTCTCCTTCCACTCTTAACCATGTTACTTCACACC